ATGACATGATGACTGATAAATAATGACATGATGACTGATAAATAATGACATGATGACATGATGACTGATAAATGATGACACGATGACATGATAGCATAATAACACAATAAGATTACGGCATGATGACGATGACGATGACGATGACATTATGACATGATGGCATTATGACACGACACAATGACACGACGACACGGTTAGTGGCCGTGTACTTACGTCTCAGTGGCGCCCTCTCTACCGGCGGCAGCGGCAGAGCGTCCGTGTCTTGCCGCGTCCCTTCGCTGGTCGTCACCTCCTCCATGTCTATCCGCGTCTCCATCAGCCCGCCTGTAACACACGCGTGTGCACCCGACTCTGTCACAACGCCTCCATACAATGCGTGTCGGTGACCTGCCAGGGGTAGGGTCCAGGCACGGGTAAAGGGAGTGGGGGGCGGGTGCAAAATACACCAGCGAACTAGGGGAGGGTATAGGTCAGCACTGTAAGCTCCCCCAGCAGGGTAAACACGTGTATTTTATTGCGTTAGCGTGGGGGTGGGTGGATTCTATGACCTCTAATTGATCATGACATTTGGGATAAGATGTGTAATATCGAGATTTGAAATGCTACCGAATGACTGACTGCTTCACTATTGTTCAGACTTTCTCTGGCATCGATTCCTCAGACAGGGATGCGGGTGGGGTATGGTCCTGGTGCCCCCCCCCCTCAATCCCCTAGTTGTACGCTCTGGCTTAAATGAGATGGGAACGTCACACAGTTACCCCCTCCCACCCCAGTCGCGTCATGACCTTTGGATGACCTTGTCAGACACAGCAGTGCATAAAGAAGATTGAGCGTGATGTGTTATGCGTAGGTGTAAGTATGAGAAGTCAAGATTCACACGGATTAGCATTCTTCGTTGAGCAACGCAAAAGAAAAAATCACGGGAAGGCAAACACGCAAACGTCATTCCATGCAAAATATAAGGACAAGACAGGTGCAACTATAATTACGTGAAATTCCTACCGTTTTCTTTTTCCAACAGGTACCCAGAATTGCTCACTAAACTTCCTTGTTTATATTACTTTACGTTATTAATTGATGTAAAATTGATAACCTTTCTGCGATGCCGTGCTCCTGCTAGTTGTTGTTGCCGCCTCCTCATCCTCGCGCAATATTTGGTACTTATTCACTGAATCTGTAATGTGCACAACAACACGAAGAGTACAGACACATAAAGCACACACACACACACACACACACACACAGATCACAGAACCAAGCAAGCAGGAGCGAGAGCAGTGTAGGGGGATGGAGGGGGCGCACAACACAGCAGGCCGCGGATGTGGGATGACAAGGCTTGATCAGTTTGCAGGAAATGATGCATACAGCACGAAATATCAGGGCTTCGTATGGAATGGTGAGACATCACATGACAATTCCATCATGGTGTCACGGTTAGTATACATCATGCTGTTATATCACACAAACACACACACAGACACATAGAAGAGATTCATGACACAGTTAGATTACAGATCACACTATCGTGCATGCCATCTCCGAGGCCACTCCCCCCTCCCC